ATTAGGTGTACCAGATCACGTCGGTTTCACCAATGATGATGTCACAGGTATTCAGTGTTTGACAACGCTTCTACCAGTAACACCTTCTAATATATTTCGTTCCCGCCCAGAGAAATCAAAAGACAGAGTCGAGGAGATCGGAAGAGTATATTTGGCGATGACCAATATATCGGAATTCTCTGATCTAATCTGGCTAGCGATTGCGGTTGATGTTGAGCACGGCGTTACCACACGTGATCTGGTGCGGATGCCTGACCGAGCGCCTTCAGCTAGGTGAGTCCACTAAAACATATGGTCAGCATCCAATGTCGAAAACTTAGTGCTATTTATTTTGGGGATTTATTTACCGCTACAGCATGTTCGTTCCTAACTGTCCTTATGATGTTATCGGCAAATGAAAGGAAACAGTCTGCGTTTTTTAAATTTTCTTCAGTAGTATGGACAACACTATCCCACCAACGAGTCAAACTAATAAAGAGTGCCCAGCAGTAGGGTATATCGGTACTGATTTCGAAAGGACCCAGACTTCCGACAACTATAGATGAAGTCACAGATGCTACCAATCTGTTGCAGAGGGTTTGTTATGGAAAATATGCCATATAACAGTAATAGAGGGGTATACTCATTACTCAGTGCGTTAAAGCAAGCTTAACATTGAAAAGCCGGAAATCTGCTACCAGTGTCTAGTGTATGTTTGCTGTTTTGGCCATAAAAGGTAGTCGAAGGGTCATGATCAGGGAGTAAAAGGTAATTAACTGTTATTAAGCTCACTTTTTTATAGATCGTATTTCACCACTCGCAAATATGCGTTTTCTTACGGTATGATTTCAACTGGTACCTATTATGTTCACCCTCACGATGAAAAGTACCTGCAAATTTTCACCTCCATATTCGAATTATTTTTGGACAACTGTCTTACAGTCTGAGTGCTTCGTACGCCCCGAGAAACTCTATTTCTACAGCATTCGTAGTTCCAGTATAACTTTCTCACGCAGTAAGTTCAGATTAGACACTAGTCTTTCTAAATAAGGCTGTTAATCTAATATCCATATTCTCTATTTCAGTTAATCGATGAAGACATGTACCACGTGCATCTGCTGTATACTGCCATTTTACTCCAATTCTAACTGTTATATTTTACTTTTGAATAATAAAATTGCTATATGCTGCAAATACAGACTTATTTGTTTTGATGGAGGTAGGGGGCTCATGGGATTTCACTAAAGAGCTAAGCGAGTGCGTAAACCTGTATAAGGTACCATACGGGGTGCATTTGAGTTACTAGTGTTCCATAAGTGCGGGTAGGGGCATTGCTTGCTTGTCATATGGCATTTGAATTAGAAGCTATAAGATAAGACGCAGGTACGTTTAGAATGTGTAACGCGTGTCCATCCATCAGCTGGTGCGACAACCCATGGTGGTTAGAATAAGCTATGAGAGGACCCGAGTCTGTAGGTCTCCCAAGGAAATGACGAGGATATGCACCAAATCACTCAACCTCTACTCATTACAGTATAGACGTCTTTGAGGTGACCTAATGGCTTACAATAACCTTAACACTTCTGGACATCCCCTAAAACACCTAATTAAGCTTAGTTCCAACACTAACCTAAGGGGTAACACCCAGAAACTAGAGACACAACATAGCAGAACGGACTGTAGGCACAACTCCTCCTTAAGAGTTGTCAAATGCTGGGGTTTTCTGCCGGCCGAGCTAGTCCAAGCGACTTCGCAGGAGTCCTTTAAGAGGCAACTGGGTTATTCTTAAGGACTAAGTATAGTATCATACTATGATTACCAATTCCCTTTTCCTCTTTTATTGTTAACATACCTAGTTTTCTGCTTTGAGGTATTGGTGATCCCCTGCTATTAGACACGGAAGCCTGTTAAGCGAAAGCTTCTTCTATTCCGTCCACAACCATTTGAACACATGAACTACGTGCTGAGAGGCTCGCTCATCACAAGTTTCTTGCAACGATTAAGTAGATAAAACAAAGTAGCATTAGATTCAGAAATTTATTCAAGAACTTTCATTAAGAATCGAATAGCAAACAAAGGTTAGACCAAGTTCCCGTTTAAAAGTTGTATTGGTAATGTTAAGCTGCAGTTTTCGTTGTATTTTTCAAACGAAAGAGTAAAAGAATTCAAAAGATACTGGAAGTGGTTGTGAGACTAAAATGGACGTCCAGCATCCTTTTTATAATCTGCTGTTCGTGGATCTCCCGTAAACAGTTCCATAGGGCCATAGTTCTAAGGGCGAAACAGTTTTTATGATCTGTGAAGACACTCCTGTTGCATTCTAAATGAAAAAATGGTGATGAATTTAGTCAGAAATGTGGAATATAAATAACCAAACCATATGTTTTTTAGCAAAGAATTTATGCAGTTGTGATTTACCTTGAGTTCATGAATATTAGATAAGGTCAGCTACTATTACTTGCGCAAAGATAACATGGGCTTAGTACCGTATTACAATGCATGTTATCCATAGATTGCTGGAAAATATAGGGCGCCGTCTTCAATCCACAAGGTAGTGAGTTATATCGGAACAAACCTTAGTATGTGGTGATGGTTAGACCATTACTTTCACCAGATACAGGGATTTGTAAATATGCGGCTGATAAATCCAATTTCGCGAAATACCTGCCATCGTTAGGTTTGGAGAAGAGATCTTCCGGTAGGGGTAAACGATACTAATAAAACTCTAGAGGTTTGACGACAGCCATTTGTGTAAATCATCAGTGTCTGAAGTCAAGCTAATCTCCTGCAGACTGAAAGCATCATCATCGTATTTATGCAAACACTAACTTAAAGTTCATACCATTATCATAGAGATGGGTTGAAAGTTATACTCACTTCGGCTTGCATTCACTTTATTGACTTATGAACGTTCAGTTAACTGAAGACGCCGTACAGTATATCATGTTTAATGGTACTATGTGGGCTGCATTGATTTCAGATACCTAATCTCAAGAGGAGTGATTCGTAGCTTTTCTTTAACCTAATGCTCACAACTAGCGCGTATGCACAGTTATTTCTGACTGCAAGTATACAAACACTAATATGGTTAAGTGATCCACTACGTCAGAAAACTGAGTTTACAGCATGACACGAACGGCCGCACACCTGTTGAACCAATTATCGTCGGTTGCCCGTACAAAACTCTGGGGATTACCACTATTGTCATGCGGAAAAGTGTCATATATTCTTGCAGTATAAACAAAACCTACTACACATGTGGCATTTCTAACCGATTATTAGTATGATCAGAGAGCACTTGAGCTGTTCATGCTTTAAATGGCTAAACACAGACTGACACTATATATCCCAGCGTGGATTGTTTGGACACTTAGGTGCACTAACCAGTTCTTTTATTTTTTTGCATGTCTGAGTAACTTAAAATCAACGAGCAACGTATGAATGTGAGTTTTGTGAACAAAAGCACTGCCCCTACATGAACTCAAGCCATCGTTCTCCTGGGTGTTTAGTCACTCACTTGACAAATAAACTACTCTGATTCGTAGTACAGCTATTTACCAGTGATACTCATGACTAGCTGAACATTCACCTCGTGTAAGGTCCCAACCGACTCGGTTTCTAGGTGACTTTTGGAAATAGTCCTACTGTAATATGCATATTATAATCAAACGATCAAACTGTAAGAGTCCGATTATGTCATCGACCCTGAGAAGTTTATTTGATTCATGGACTCTGTCAGGTTCACACATACTTCTTTTGAACATTAACTTGTTATGAAAGTCGCGTTGCACGGTGGACCCATTAGTTATATAGTGAAGATGCGCTACCGTGCGCCTTCGACGGTGATGTGCCTAGTAAAACTAATAAGGCTTACGGAATCAAATGTTTTAGGTGTTTATTTACTGATTCAGTCCTCGTTGTATCTGGTTAATTTAAATGCCTGCTCAAAATGCTTAAGAAATGCAGCAACAGAGTTGCTCCAAGCACTCTTTTGAACGTACATCCAGCCTCACTTTGAAGTCTGCGATGTCGTTTCGTCCCCTCTTTTCAAAAGAGATACATCCTCTAGACCAAGTGAAAAGACTGTTTCAAATATATTCTTACGAGAGAGACCCCATAAACTCAGATTATTAAGAGGCGATTTGATAATGGCAAACAACGTACGTCAAGCCAGAAGCATATTACCAGGACATCATCTCCACGCTCTCCTAGGCAACCGATGAAGGTTTATACATCAAAGAGTAAAGTCTTAGCTACGCTATCACTTTTTTCACCGCCACTCGCATCACTTGAAATGCTCTTCTAGCCGAAGTGACTACAGGCTTCTCAGTGTATAGCCTTAAGAAGAGACTTGACAAACACGTATTCACCCATGGATTACCATACCCTTCCTGATTCTCTTACTATCATATCTGTTCCTTCTCTTATCCTTTCAATTATATCTTCTTACACATTACCAAGTTTCTGATTTATTTCTTGGAAAGATTGTTTGCTCTCAGCGCTCAAAGTACCATCTTATTATTTTCACAATGAAAGCAACCAACCTTCAGTCTAGTAATGTAACAGGTACTGATATTCAGAAACACTACTACCCCGAAACAAACACACTCACTCAAACTACAAGATATACAAATTCACAAAGGCTGCAAAACTGACTAGAATTGGTACAATTGAGTAGCTAGACTACCACTCATTGAACATCCCCAAATACCTGGAACCACACCAAAACAACAAGAGGAGAGGGAAAAAAGCTGGTCGGTTGATCCAAGTCCATGACAAAGATATTGGATATACTTGTCAATTCAGCTCATTGGGTTCCGAGGGATAGTGTGATTGGTTACTTGTTATTCTATATTTTATCAAAAAAGAGTGTTCACGGAAGAAAAGAGAAACGCTCTCTTTTTATGGAGCCAAAACATTGATAGTAACTCGGACTTACTTCATACAGAGATTTGTTTTAGCTAATTGAAAATATTACAATAACAGTAACGAATAGTGCACACCTTTGAGCTGCTGGGCTGCATTCAGGGCCTTAGGCTACCAACTGAATATATAAATATTGATTCATTCGTGATGAACTATTCTGAGAAATCTAATTATTCAGATTTTCCACCTCTATTTCGTCACAATCAAGTTGAGTTGACTACTGTCGGACAAATGTTACATCAAATAATCATCGTGGATTTACTGACACTGAGAAAAATCCTCTGTATGCAATAAGTTAACCTTGATGGTTTTCAGCTACATGCGGTTTGATACCACTTTGGAAAGTTCAGGGTGGAAGTTAAAAGGAACCATTTATTCCATCACAATAATGTCCACTACAGCTGTAGCGGACACCTAATTTTCATATTTTATTTGGAGCTATGGATAACTCAGTAATAAATGATTTCACTCCTGACACCACGGATTAGGTTTGTTGAACCAAAGGTTACTAAACAACCGGTATATAAAGGCATTTTTAAGGTTGTGGTCGGATAGATAGATAGTGTAGGATACTACTTAACACCATTTAATTGGTCTTTATGTAAAGTCTGGAGAGTAATATAGTATTCGGTCTCTGCTACGAAAAATTTCGAATTTCGCTTTCACAGTCTGACTTTTAAGATCTTATTGCCGTGCGCAAGACTCTTCTAAGGTTGAATTACTTCAGTATTTTTTTATCTAACCGATTTTTGTGGGAGAGTTTTCATTCCATCAGTTATGGGGAAATTTCTAACTTTTCAGATGTTATATACTGTTCTTTTTGCCTTTTGGAGTTGGCAATCTTAAGAAAACCCGAAACTACGTAGTTTAAATGGTTCAAAATTTGTCAAACTGCGACGCAATTAGGCACTTCATCAAGAGTTGTAAAGGCTAGAGCCATGTATTTAATGAACATTTTTAGATTGTGACTGTAGTACTAGAGCCCTTCTCAATTGATAGTTAACCTTTATTCATGATTTGTAATCAACTTTAAATACTGATGGTTAGACATATAAGCAAATATATATTAGAAAACAGACTTATGTAGTTTAGTTTTGTCTAAAGTACAACAGAGGTTTCAAAATGCTTTTTTCGGAATATTATACTGTATCGCGTTATGTACCTTCTAGAAGAGATTAAATGGGGAGCAATACAGTGATCGTCAAGTTGCCAGACATCACATGGAGTTTCTATTGAACTTGAGATTTGATGAATCGGTGTATGACGAAATATTGCCAGTGTCGTTAATATCATCACAGGATAAATTGTGGAACTTTTATAAACCGTCAAATAGAGTATGCTCTTGTTTTTATGTGCAACGTTGACTATTTTTAGGTTCACTATATAAGGAAAACTGGACCCGGAATAAAATGTGGTTCTAGAATTTTCTTTCCAAACAAGTCGGATAAAGTGAACTCAAAACTCGCTGTGAATTATAATCAGGTATTTATTTTGAATGCTTTCCATTCGCTTAATCAAAATGTTTTCCTGCTCAATATTTTGTGGCGACTCAAAATGTTGAATGGGGAAAACATTTCTAAAGGTTCATAGATTTAATGTCTAATAACTGGATATTTGAAGTTATTAATAAAGTTTGTAGAAATTTACCAGATATTTTGACACTATTTGTTTTAAAAAAGACTACTACCTGGAAGTGCCGAGCCAGGTGTCCTGATCACATTTTTACACAGTCTAAGTGAAGCTCATAAATCTCGTGCTCCTATGTCTTTGATCCCCTTTAAGTTTGTTGTTCCTGTCAACGCTCAACGTTCTTTTATCTGTTTGTCTTTCGACAGACAAACTTAGAGAACTCCAGTAGTCGCGTCGTCTGAATTTGTCGTTTTAAAGTTTCTTCACACTTAAAATGTTTGAGGGTCGTACTGTAACCTTCATTTGAGTTGAAATAACCTTATTTATCTGTTTTACAACTTTAGGTTGACGCCGGATATGGTTTTCATCAAAAAAGAAACGTAACACGAATGGCATTGTGAGTTTATGACTCTTTTCTTTGCCTCTGAATTAAGTCAAAACGACTGGCTGTTATAATTGAAGGAGGTTGTCAAAATGTTTGAGTTAATTGTTTTATTTTAATTGATGATATGAAAACCCAACTACGCCGTAGTTTGTATTCAATCTATTGATTTAGAATAATTCTTTAATGGTTACATTTTCTGTCAATTTCTTATAACTGCCAATTTTACCAAGCACTGATTAGTAACAACATTTTTGGTTCAAACTAAATCAGTTGATGTCAAATTGTTCTCAGTAAAACAAACGAAATTGAGCTACATTTGTTTTATAGAAGCAGCCTATAATTTAACCATTCTAATGTTGCAACTAATTCTTCCTTAAAAATCTACAAACATAGAGTAATGCCAAAAAGGCAACAAAACCGTTCTTATATCCTTAAAAGGGTTGAATTTTCAATATATAATTTATCGAGTGACAAATTGAAAGTTTTAGGTATTTGAAAATTAGGTTTATTATTGTTATTATTATTACTACTATCATGATTATACGGATACAGGATAAATTTTGCCAAACGTGGTTTCACTTCCGAAAGGTTGTTATATTTTACTGCCAATAAACATATTTGTGCATTGTAATAGAATGCACTCTAAAGCATAAACAAGCGTAAATGGGTTTTAGTCTAAATTTGCGATTTCAATTTATTAGGGTGTTTATATCATCAAATTATTCGTTAATATGTCCACGCGTGCATCAAACGTAATCAAAAATAATAATGATAAATCTGCAATTCAATGGATTTTTGATTAGCTTAGTAGATTCTCTATAAAACATTGTTCTTCTTATATTTAATAAATCATATTTAGGCCTGAGACATCCAATAAAAAGAAAATTCACAGTAAAACAAAATCATGTAGCCAGGAATTGGACAAATTTGGCGTGAAAGGTTGGTTCCTCGCTATTGATTTTTCCACTTTACTATTAGTACAGTAGATGAAGCGAAAGGTAGGTAACTAAAAGACGATTGAATTTATAACTGTGAACAAAAATAGGGCGGCATATACTTGAAGTCAGCCATTTTGCCTTATGGAGTTGAGATTCAAATTATACTTTTCAACGTTATTAATAATGTTTCAAATGTGTGTGTCTAATATTACAGAGAAACTTGACTAATTAGCCATATTACAGATGAAAGCAACTTAGTACACCTAAGGGGACTTTTGATTGAGGGAGATGTGTCGATATTGGCGCTTTTCGAACGATGTGTTATGAAAACTAGTGATAACTACTAGGTAGTACATTTATAAGAAGGTTGAGAAACGTTCAAATATCAAATGACAAGATGAATTTCAGTCAGTATTATTTGTGCATTACTAGCGTATTCGCCTTATTCCCTAACGACCATCGTGGTCAGGTGAATTATTCCAGTCATGATCCGTACATTTTAGTCTTTTGCTGAGATTTAGGCAAACGATTCGGGAGGATTTTTTGTGCCTCAGTTTAAAGGGATTTGTCCTTTAATGGTCTTAGTATGAGACAAATCGTAGAAGAAAGCACACAACAATTTTCATTGTTCGTTTAAGGTAAAGGCTTTCAGCTTTCTAGTCATTAACTAACAATGCCGAATGTATGTATTTTTAGCTCCCAACAGCTCAGAATTGACACAGAAACTAGAGAAACAAATAAGAAGAAAAGTAGAATGAAGAGCTAGTCGAAAATAGAGAGGAGCAGATACTATTGCAGAAATAATAACGTTGAATAACAATGGCCTAAAAATCCAAAAGACGATGGAGAATAAATACATCTGTTGTAGATTACCACTTTAGGTATTCATCTTTGAAATCACTGAGCAAGTAAAAACCTGGAAGTTTGCAGCTTATCTCGGAAAGTCAATGACTTCATCAACCTATGCCATATCATGGTCTCGCCACACCTTGTACTTTTTCAACTTTCTCTTATACGAGGCGATCACTTGGTATCCTCATTGCACTCCCTAGCACAGTTAGTCTATGAAAGTTTACTGAATCACTTATCTTTTTGGTGATTCCGCCTATAAACCCAAATTTAACCTTACTATCATTAACATGGTAATTTCACCGTATGCAATGTTTTTAAGCTTTTTAAGCACCTATTTCGACTTAAGAAGCGTACACTCGTTTTGATGGAAAGATAGATACCGGCATTTTGCTAACATCTTCAGAAAAACTACTGACGATTTCAAGACATTTAATAGTTAAGTTTGATTATTTTAACAATTGTGTGCTGGGAAAAAATTCATCTTTTAAAATATTTTGTAGCCACCATGAATTGCACAAAGGTAATATCAAAAATAAATTCACAAACAAAACTGTCAGAGTTTCATTTTGATTTCTTGAATATCCCCACACTGATAAACTGTGAAAGTCAATCTGATAGCTATTTCGCGGATAATTTTGATAAAACATCAAAAAACTATAAATCAGAGGTAAGTGCATCTTCAGGTAAGTAAACTTGAAAGTCTGAAATAATTTGGGGCTTGAGACAAACTAAGTATATAAGTGAATTCTCAACTAATTCGAATCAAATAGTTGGTAGTTTACTTTGATATCGAACCATTATTCATTACTGTATGAGTACTGTGAATGATTGATCATCTATAGCTCTATAGATAGAACATCATACAATGATTTACTTGATTTTAAGCAAATTCGATAAGTAGTTGTGATGCGAAATATTTTTATAATGTGTTATGTATCTGGATAAAGTGTTCCTAAAGTTTCTGTGTTTTGATTGGATGTTTGAGGTCAGTTGGCTGCTCAAAGATTCTAAGCTTTGATGGACGTATTGTGCATTTTTAACAAAAATAAACGATCCTTAGCAGCTTTAAAATTTTTTATTTAGTTAGCTCATATATGTGGTTTGTACTTTACATTTTACACTTAGAGGTTAAAGGAATCTATTGTAGTGGTATAAGATAACCTGAAGGTTCTTAATTCGACTTCCTAGAGGGTTGTGGATACACAGTGGCCAGAAGTAATATACTAAGACGAAACAGCTGCCCAATGCCCCTAAGTTCCCAATGTTTGTCTAACTTGGGTCGCTTTTTGAATATTGATAGATACTTATCTCATTATCACATTAATTTTAGTGCTTGAACTTTGAAGATTCATTGAAGTTTAGGAAAGTTTTGAAGGAAGAGTTATATAGTAATCTTTTTGATCAAACAACTATGAAATCTGAATTAAAGAACGCTTGTAAGCCTGTGTTAATTTTACTCTGTATTTTATTTTATTGTTCTACAGTAAGTGAATTTCAATGTAGACGATGTTTATGTTCTGTGTTCTAAAGAACTGAAATAAATAAACTTATAGGTTCTGTTGTAAGTCACTCCGATATTTGCATTTAATTGTCTATACAAATCTATCAACTAACATTCTAACATGTATCACTACAACAGAATACTTATTCAATATAAAAACGTTAACTAAATATCAATTTGTCCAAGTTTCATTACTAGATTAGAAGTTAGATATTTTCAAGTACATTAAATGTTCTTGATGAGTCAACTGTTGTTCATTCACACCGCGCTACAGATCGGGAAATTCTTTTTTGTGTGGACTTAATTACTTTAGATATTTCGATTTTTGTAATTTTGAAAAAAGCTGAATACATTAGTGTGATTTTTAATTTTATTTGACTGCAACTTAAACCTGGAAACATGATATATTTATTTCGCCATAGCTAGAGGTTACGTAATAGTATGAACTTTGATCATTGTGTTGGGTGAAATCCAGGACCTTTTGGTCTTTCAAGTGGCTGAAGTATTCCAACGAAAGTTTCTAATTACTGTATAGGTTAATAAATACGGTTACTACCAACTAGCCTTATTGAATACAACCAATGAACCACAAGCAAGTGTTATTTTCTGACTACTCTATGCCTCAATGAGCTATAAAAATATCGGGTGACAAGAATTGTTGTAACTGACAAGATAATTACATTAAACCACTCTAGGACGACACATCACTAGTCAATGAAACCAATAGTCAGATCAGAGCCATGTCCTCAGTTTTATGATCTCAGTTAATTTACCGTTGTCTTTTTATGAAAATATCAGTTAAATAATGTCTTCAGAAATAGTCTCTAGGCTGACGTTTGCTCAAACAAAGTGGCTAACTATGAACATTTCGTAGAATGCTTTGAGTTAGATTTAGGATATTTGATATGTTCTGTGAATAGTAAACTGATTTCAAAAAACTATCTACTCATTATCAGGGAAGTATTTGTGTATATTTGTTGCTCTATAAACTTTAGTAACCTCACTAGTACTAATGACATTGGTTAGATATTCTTTGATTTTATGTTTGTCATTTTCTCTTAGTTACATGGATTTCAAAAATATTTTTCGCGAATGAATTATATGAAAAATGTACCAGTTAATTTTCAATTGTGCCCTTGAGAAGTTATTCGTGTTGTTGTGATTGGTTCTATTGTAATGTAGTTAATTTGGCCAAAGGTCAATTCATTAGTACTTACTTTCTGCTCTTCAGAACAACATGGGGACTTGTTTGTGCAGACTTATTGTCATTTTGTTTGAATATTTTTCTTTCAGTGTTTCACTGGGCTACTGAATGTGGAATCGAAATCAGAAAATTTTCATCAAATGAAATCGATAATGTTTTTAACCAGTTAAATATAATAGATGCAAAGATTCAGTTGCAAACAATTGTCTCTATAGCAATTTTTGAAGCAAATCCAAACAGTGAGCTCTAGAAAAAGATATTATTTCATTTACAAGTTTATATGTGTGTTTAGAAAATATACAACGACACTGATTATTAACTGTCTTGTAAATGTCCATCTGAAGAAAATGTTGCATTTTCACGTAGATTTTGTTGAAACAGCATTTAAATTAAGGAATTCGTAGATTTACCGTTATTCTTACTTTAAAATTCATCTGACAGTCAGTTTGTTGGTTACAACCAAAGTAAAACCTGGTACAAATGTGTATCTACCAAAGTTGTCACATCACATCATCTTGCTTATTTGAAGTTAACGTGGGGAATAACAGAGGAGTTGTACTAAAAGTGTCATTAATGATATCAAGAAGACTAGGTATGGAGAATATAATTCGAAAAGGGGATGAAATAAGTTTAAAGTATCAATCAAATGTATGACTTAAGGAGAATTACACGTCAAAGGTAATTGTATCATTGCAAACGATTGAGTCACGTCACTTACCTTCTTCAATCATTAAACATAATCATTTTACCGACAGTGATCAAATAATATTTATCTGTCACTACGGCTCAGTTTCGCAGTTAATTGATTAACGCTGATTTATTCACTGTTTCAGTCACTATCCAGTTAGAAAAAGCCTAAGAAAAATGAACGCTGAACTGGCTAACTTTGCAAGTAAAGGTTTCGGTAATAGTATTATGATAAAAAAACATTTTCAGAAGTTTAATTACAGTAATGTCAAATAAGTTCCTAAATCAAACAGTGTTGGATGTCGAATGACTTCCGACAATTAGTATTTACGATGAAGAAATGAGATCAATTCATTGGACAACAAGCTATGATAATTATTTTTTTAATTTATTCAAAACTGAGAACATGATATTGTCTGTTGTTTCAGAATTAAAATTAGTTTTCCAAATTTTAATTACACATAATGACTAAAAATAATGTATTTGCAGAACATACTCAAATATGTGCAAAGGCTTGGGCGATATTCGTTAAAGTCACTTTTCTACAATTCATTGCTGTTGTGATAGTAAACCATCCCTTATTAGAAATGTTATCTTAATCAATACAGACCAATCAGTTTCTAATGAAACAGCTTAATGAATGAGTTAATTAAAAGTGACGATTTCTATATTTTCTCAGGTTTTATTTTACTTACACATTTTAACAGGTGAACAGATTGCTATTCTCCGTGGTTTCCTTTTGCTCAATAATCACGAAATTGTTTTAGCTACTTGCTTGTGTCTTAATATAATAGGTTATTCTAATCAAACATGTATTGAAAAACTAAATACTTTGATCACAATGGATCAAAGCTTATTATGTATGAAATCATCAAATAACAAAATATCATCTACATCTTTGAATCTATTGAAATGGGCATCATCAATTTGTTTATGTAAATTAGATCAATGTAATTTAAAAGCATTGGATATTCTAACTAATCTTCTATTTGATCAGTTAATTCAATTTATTCCCGAACAATATCCAAACAAAGCTTACTATACTCAAATGAAAGAGTTCAATGATTCATTGAATAAATCATTAAATTTAGAAGATAAATATATGAACTCATTTGTTTCGATTCTTTCAAATCTCATAAAATTTGATATAAACAAATCAAATATCTTTTTAAATAGAATAATCTACTATTCTGAAATTAAGATGATTTTACGTCTTAGTAAGAATCATGTGAGTTAGCTTGCATATATTTTTGTCTATAAAAAATCCTATGAAAATAATTAGTTCTTTATTGAATACTTTAGGTAAGTACTCTACTAGATAATATATATCAAGCACAAAACAGTTTAGATTTTGAATTTGGTGAAAAAGGATTTACACTTTTTTGATATTCTAGGAATTGGTTTCTTAAAATTGCTAATTGGTCAGTTACAACGTAAAATAAAGACTTCAAATAAGATAGCTTTTGTGGTCTAATGGTTATCGAGATAATGCTGAATTTCGCTCACATTTTGGATGGACTGTTTCTATCTAATCAGGCTGAACAATATTTGACTCAAGATCAAGAAGTTATAAGTTTGATTATTAAACTATTTAATTATAGCTATTATATTTTGCCACTTGTCAATCCTCATGAGTCAGTCTGAATAACATAGCTTTCCATAAGTTTTATTCTAAACAAGTGTTTGTGTATGAAACCCTGAATCTATCAGTGACTTTCATTAATAATAACAGTGCCTATTATCAACGATGCAGTAGAAAAGGGAATTTAATCCACTTGCTGTTATGCATGGTGTGTAGCATGAAATAAATACTGAGCAGAATTATTGACGTTTTTTTTAGCAAAGAGTGGCATATACTCATTAAACAAGATGGTAGTCAACAAATTAGTTAACCGAAAAATGAATCGAAGTCGGTCACAATAGCCGAATTTCATTCTTCTTACGCATAATTCGGTCCTTCCTTTCCCTGAAATATATTTCTTAAGTTCAGCTTTACTCTGCATTTGATACTGTTCTTTACTCTAACGGGATGAATATGAAGAACAGTTGAACTTTCTTGAATGTTACATCTGAAGTTACTGTTAATATGTTTATCGTATAATTATGAAGTATGTAAATTATTGTATTTTTGTATTCTCCTGCTTGTGAACATTTTCATGGTGCATAAAGTGTTTTTGTATATTGTACCTTTCCTAAGTTACTGTTGATCTATTATGGACCTATTACTCAGTTCTTTTTTGCTTTTGGTGTAGCGTGCCCATATTCTTATTGCCTAATTATGTTTATATAAGGTCAGGATTTCATCCTGGAGGATTTATAGGTTTTAATTTTATAGACAGAAGTTTTCTGCTTCATGTGTTGCGTTCCATTCCGGCTATCGGGCGAGTGAGCGTAGGAGAATTCCATTCTGAACCTGAAGTCATTGAGTATAAATCTCGTCTATTTTCTCGCTATCAACATGTTACTAATTAGCAAAAGACCATTGATGAGATATATAGTTTAGAAGAATTAATCAATAGGACTACTTTCCAGTCCAAAGGTTTGTTCATACGGACCCAAAAAATAAATCAAGAAATTCTTTTTTGTCTGTCACGTTACCCTCTTTGATTTTAATTATGACTACTATGTTTCCTGTTGTAATTAAATAAGTTGTATGAATTGAATATATATTAACCATAACCGATTATTATCATTACTATCATAAAACTAAGATTTCAATAAATCCTAATCATATGATGAGACACTTTTATGTTGATGCAAACTGAAAATCGTAAAAATTGTCCATAATACAATGAAAACTTATATTCTATGCGACTTTTTTTCTTAGAAGTTGTACTTTTTCTACTGAAATAATCTTTATTTTAAATATAGACAGGTACATTTTAATTCTTGTTCTTTTTTTTTTACTTTTTTCCAAACAAGTCACAAATTGAACATTACTTGACTGATTTTTTGAATTCACCAAATTGGAGAATAAGATTATGTTCATGTTGGCTTCTATCCATTTTATTGTGTGATTTAAGTAAAGTAAGTAGTGTGAACGAATTTTTACGCTATAATTATACTTATTATACAGATTTTTAGAAATAAGTTAAAAGAAATATAAGATTGAATTTCAAATATGAGTTAGCTTATGTGAATATATATAATTTCTATTGAATTAATATTTATAGATTAATAAAATTCAAGTTAATATTAAAAGAAATTGATACTTACAACATAGTAAATGGAACTAGAAAATAAACAAATTCAGAAAATAATGGAAATACTTTTAGTTGAAGATTTAAATGATAATAAAATATGAATGTATCGACATCAGTGTGATAGATCTTTAATTGTATATTTTCAAAGATCAGAAGGGGTTTGTGGAGATTTTAGAAATTTCACTGATTGAAATCATGAGTTAATTGAAGCTAGACCACCATTAAAAACCTGGAAGCACTGGACGGCCGTTTCGTCCTATTGTGGGACTTCTCAGCAGTGCTCATCCACGATCCCGCACTCCGCGAGATTCGAACCCAGGACTTATCAATCATTGATGATAATTATTGTTTAAGACCATAGTAATGAAAATATGCATATTTAGATATTGTTCATATCATTTCATTTAGTTGTTTCATGAACTTACATAGATTTTAGAGATTTGGCTTCTTTAGTTGTTTATACAAACCATATTGCTAACCATGACAGTGTATTTAGATAGTCTATGTATAGATATTATATACACATGTTTCATACACCATTCTTTAGTCTACAGTTTAGAAATTAAGTTATTCTGATCGTTCAGTTCAGTGGAAGTATGATGTTTTAGAGTTATGTGAATACTTCAGTTAATCACTGACAAAAAAAACATGACTTTATAAGACAATGATGCTCAGATGTTTGTTATATGACATATTTGGCACAGTTTTGTAGTGTATTTCATCAAAACAATGTGGAAGTATAATAAAGTATTATGTGGTGAGAATTTGTATCTTATATCTTTGCGAATTCATGATATATATAGCATCCAATTATCAAGCTATAATTGCTTCATTAACGCTGGGGGCATATTGACCTCTTAATGTGTTTTTCATGACAGTAGTTATGACAACCATAGTAGAGTGAACGATTTTTCAATACTTTCAATGTCCGAAATTAAGTAGTAAAAGCTTGTTTCCATCACGAAATATGATTTACATACTCTAGTTAAAAAATTATAGCGTTTCTTAAGTTATTATTTTATATTAATCATATGTATTTGTTTATTATTCAATCTTTTTTGAATGGCTTTTTATAGGATACACTTACAAGAGTAAATCGTCTTATGCTATTAGATTGGAATACTATGTTACGGATAGCTTCACTTCATTGTCTGGAGATAAATTTAAAAGGGATAGATGTATCTTTATTATGGTCAAATCGTTTATTCAATGACCCATTTTTGTCAAATGATAACAATAGTACTATAATAAATAAAATAATTCATGACTTATCTATAACCCCTAAATCAATCCCTTATCGTCGTGCTCAGAGAATATACCAATTAGCTATGAATGGTAATGTTTTACCGCTTCTAAATACTTCATTTTTTTTATTTCACTATATGTTTTAAAAATTTTTCTACGTCCATTTTATTAAGTTACACACTTCTACAATATCAAATAATTATGTTTCAATTATGTATGAATTAATTTTATAATTTTAATAGTTGAATTCATGAGTCGATGTAAGCAAGCCCACCACTAAAACCCAGTAAGCTCTGGACGGCGATTTCATCCCAGTGTGAAACTCCTTGGCAGTGTGCATCCACGACCTCGCACGCGGGATTTGAACCTAGAACCTTCGGTATCGCGAGCGGAGGCTTAACTTCTAGACCATTGAGCCGGCATCCAATGGTGTTAATGTCTAACTAATCGATCCATGATCTTGTGCAATTATCCATCCATTGTCTGAGGGAGGTACCTGTCTCGAGCCCCACATTCGGGATCGTGGATAAGTAGTGCAAAGGAGTCCCATACTAAGACGAAACAGTCGTCCAATGCTTCCAGTTTTTTAATGATGGTTTAGCTTGCATCGACTCACTAATTCAACTATTAAAATCACTACAATTTTTCACAAACCCCCATTCTAGTTTTATAATTTGCGGAAAAATACAAGGTTCACATTGGATTATAATACAAGGAATTTAAAATCAATGATTTTATTGAAATGTTTGGTATCCAGGTCTGTGTCAATGTGAACCAGATGTAAATGAATGCTTTTTGGATAAAGAGGTACTTTGATACGGTAACGTTGGTTCTTCTTCACAGTCGACTTTGATACTTATTTTTTTACCTAAAATATTTAACGTTCGAGCTCTTCAACCAGTTCATGTTATATAGAGCACAAACCTGTTTTACGGTTCAAAGTCCGTACATTTTCCTACTTACGTCGATTTGACGAACCTATATCATAAGGTCTACCAATAAAAATTATGGTTGGCAGCAGAGTACATAGGAATGTGCTTGTTTCTCAACTCATAAGCACTGACTATCAACAGTATGGAGTTGTGGAGATTGTTGAGTTTCTTTGTAATCACGAGCCAATCACAGTTAAACAACCACTGAAAACCCGGAAGAACTGGACAGATGTTTCTTTCCAGTATAGGACTCTTCAGTTTTGCGCATTGGCGAACTTGCAAACAGGAATTGCAGTGTATAGCTACTTAATATTGTTTTTTTATTTCAAGCAGATAAGTGCCTAGTTTTATCTTCTAAATCCTGATCATATATTTGTGATTTTCGTTTACAAATCGCTAAGATTAATTCTAATATAAATCATTTTATATTTAAAAAAATACTGATTTCACGCAAAATATTCAGATTTAGGATAAAAGCATCAATTGAAATTGATTAATTGAAGTTTCAGTACAGTTTTATTTTACTTTTGGTTATCATTGTTATTTTTAATTTTCAGGTCTTTCACACGATGATTTAATCAAACAGCTTCATTTGGCTTTAATGGATGAATGTAGTTGTGTACGTAAAATGGCATGTGTTATCATTGAGCAACAGGACGTAGCTACAGAAACAGTCATTTTTAATGAATTGCTTAACATTTTAAAGAATGATATGAATGATAACGTTAAAATAATGGCTATAAGAGGTGGGCTATAATAGATTATTTACACTATTTTCTCGAAGCTTCCGTAATAGTAATAGTAAATTTTTGAAACATGAAAATCATTTACAAAATTCGCACTCACGTTGATGTTTGATCAAAAAATATAATCCTTCGTAGAATTCAATACAGTTTGCAAAAGAAATACGCTCATACCACTAAGAAGCTTAGTTCAAACATAATTAGTTAAATTTAGTTTGATGGTATTTAGATGAAGGATTTTGCCTGGATATACTAGCAATCCTATATATCAAGTTTTAAGAGGAGTTATATTGGTAGAGCAGACAATATATAGTGCTTCTGAAAAAGCTTTTATCAATTTTCTTCTCTAGAAACGGAACGTCTTGTTTTCTTCTCCCGTTTGGCTACAACATTTTTCCAACAGTTTTTTAGTTTATCCTACTATATCATTTTAAATCACTACATATTTCATTCTTAAGTGTCTTCGATTTGTGTTCATTCAGTTAATGACTCAAAAGCTGATTTCAAATCCTTCCTTCCTTCATTTCTAATCAAGTCGATGTCCCAAACCATCCTTTGAGTTTGATCTTTAGTTTTTACATCTTAATATTATGAACTTTATTTTAAACTAACACTATACAACATTAGACTGATAAGTGTACAAATAACTTTTGATCGATTTCATTTCTATAAAGTATGATAAATCTCATTTGAAATTTCGAGATGAGATTTTCTCAGCTTCTAACCGTTTGATTAAAACTTGCTGAAATGTCATTTTGTTCAAATTTATGTTCTTGTTCTTTTCACCTATGGCATTTGTTCGGTCCTCTTTCGAGAAACTTTGATTACTCCAGATTAAGTATTCTGTATAATTTGTTATTTATACAATTCAAAAAGCTAATTGCATCGTTGATAATGAATTAATGACTATTCGATAAGGGAAATTTCGTCTATCATCAAAAAAGCATTTCTTCTTTAGGTTATTAACTATTGAAAGTTTTTCCAGGTTGGTGTCACTCCATAAAAGGATGTTTAAGGGGTTTAGAAAATTTCAGAATGAATAAGAACCTGAGTAAGTGAAAAGGCTACCTAATGTATGGAGAGCATGAATACTCAGTTACAATATCTCGGTTTGCCAGTTTTAAGAATAGTTTCTTTATTTGTGGAGCCAACAATGTTCTTTGTCAAAATCTCTAGAAGACCACAAGGGATCAAGAAATATTTGATCTAAACAGCATTGAATATCAGCTTTTCAGAGACGTCAAGAGAATGAAGGATGATGTGTCGCGTTTTTGATTAGATAACTACCCATACCGTTATAATATTTAGAATGCTTCTGGAAAGTTCTCGAGTTCAAAGTCATACAGGAATCTATTAATACGCTTGATTTTCTGTAACTTTAAAATAAACCTGTCACTCGTATTTTGCGTCTTTTCTTTATTGTTCAAATTAATATGTAGGAGTAGTCTGAGGTTATAAACAGGTGTAAAAAGGGCAGTATCAAGCGTTCAAGTAGCAGACTTATTACTTAAGTAAGGAATCGTTGTGCCCATTTTAGATATTGATATGTTTCTTTCTTGTACAGCAGTTACGGATGTAAAGTTTTAGCTTTTGTTGCTGGTCATGAAGATGATTTTTCTCTCACGTGTAGTAAAAACTAGTTTTATTTAGTTAAATGAATAGATTTTGTTGAGAACAGACATAATATTACTTTTAGTATCGTATTACTTCAGGATTGTAACCTCTATTGATGTAGACGATTTCGACACTAGGCAGATTCTAAGCTATCATAATCTTGTTATATGTATTTGAAAAATTATTTGCCAAACTACTGTATGCTAATTCTGTTGACAGATATAAGTAGTATGTAGCACCAATCGGTAGTATAATACTTGCAGGAAGATTGAATTGAAGAGAACAGGAAAGGAAATAGATAGCATTTGGAATAACAATGTGATGAGTAGAATCGTGAAGTGCGCACAAGACAACTGAAGGGAGATGTGAAAAGAGTATATTTAATGTATGGTCATCATATTTTTACCAAAGCACTCTCTAATTTCGTGTTGATTTTCCTTTCTTAACTTCTTCATTTACTATAGTATTATTGTTATAACTTATGGCCTATTAATATATAACGTAATGATACTGCCAATTAGAGAACAGTGAATTATCGACCAGACCAATGAAGCATAAAACCCGTACGAGCAGTCTAGAGTCTTTATTAATCCTGCCTCCTGCCTGTTAAGTCCAGAACATCAATCTCAGCCTCCGCAATATGAATCACATACTGGGTTTATATATCAACCAAATGGACCACATCATACCATAAAATGAAAATAACATTTGTACAAGATTTAGCGAAATGTGGGAGATAGTAGTTGATAGACTGGGCATAACTCAAGAATGGTAAATGGTATAATAATAATTAATAGTTCAAAATAATGCTTATGATAAGAAAAACAGGAATATGAATAGTTTATTTACTTATCAATTATACGATAAAAATATACGTGATAGTATTAGTCCACAAAAAGATGCCAACAGTTACCATTCATTATTCTCATCAGGATATAATAATTATTAAATTATCTGAATCATTAATTATATATTTTAATATTCTTATTCAGCTTTAAAAACAATATCTGGTTCTAATAAAGATAATAAAAAATCTGAACAAGTTCAAAATGTTTTATATCATATTATTCAATCTGAATTCAATCCATCTATCCGACAGAAAATATTTCATCTTTTATTATGGTTTATTCAAACACGTTTTATAATCCATGATACAAGTGAACATTTAATGAATAATGAAATTGATATTTTAGCTAAAACATTAATTCACAATGAATATAATTCATTAAATGCAAAAATAATAGATTTTAATGAATTATTTAATATACAAAATGATATGATAGAATATATTTTAAATTATGAAAATGAATGTGTTGCTATGGAGAAAAGTTATTCTAATTTAATACGTAAAATATTTATATCAAACTATAATATGTTTATTAATGATAAAGGGAATCAAATGAAATTAAAAAATTGCTTTCAATGTCATCTTTATTATTTATATAATTTTTTAAGAAAATCTTTAAAATATGAAAACTGTGAAGAGATTCAATGGTAAACTACTTTGTAACTTTTATAATTATTCATTTAATGTTTATGATGTATTTTGTAGATAAGATTCATATATTTTAGGTTGTGAATAAATATATTTTATATGTAAAGAGAATGGAATAGAGAGAAGAGAAGGGATGCAGAGTGGAGATGGCAGGTAAGCCATCTCCCATTTAACCAAGCGTTGACCAATATTTATAGTTACACAAAAGTAAGTTACAGACATGTGATGAGTAATGGGATAAGAAATGTACACACACCTACGCGCTCATATAAAAACAGTCAAGATTGATAAGCGAATAAATAACAAGGTTAGAATGTGACTCAAGTAGAATGAATAGAATGGTCTGTCCGAAACCTAGAATGAGGTATATGTGCTTAACATAATAACCGACACTACACACTACCAAGTGAATTTAAATTTCACCTTATTGCACAAGCAAGTGGATATCAAAACTCAGTAACTGAGTAGATAACGTTATGGTGTTTGAAGTGAGAGGTACTGGGTTCGAATCCCGGGGTGAACATGAACTCTGAGATGCAGGTATACACCTAGTTGACGAGTTCCAAGTAAGACGAAATGCGCGTCTTGAATTCCAATACTAGCCACTATCCATCTTTACTTATTTCATGTTGTATGTAGTACGATTAGTGACGGATTTTGTATTATAATAGAATTTTATTATATTAGAATCCTTGGGTAAATAAATGAAGGATCAAATGGTTGTAAGTACCTTAGGTTTCTAGTATTGATTGGTTGGATTTTACTATTAATGTAGCATATCCAAGATGCAAACATCAATTCAGTATTTATGGTAGAACATTTTTTTAGTTACGCATAGGCCATCTTTTGTCTTACTATGTCTTGAATTCTAGATTTAAATAGCAGATATGCTTATAGATAGATGTGAATACTTAGATGTAACCTTTGTTACTTTTAAGATGATAAGAAGTATGTCCTCCAATTTTGTAATTATAATATGTTGATGAGAACTGTTTGCTAAATCTAAACTAGTGTTTTATAACTATCACATCTAAATCAAGTGAGATACTTCTTCTTTGACTAAGTCAGTATCGTATCTTAAGTAAATAACCTACTCCAGCAGTTATGGATCTTGAAGTGATTTGTAGTGTCTCTCATAAACTACAGTTTATTTAAATTCACCTGGTATTGTTTGCTTGTATCTTCCGTTTGTTTTTTAGGACTGCAATTGATCAGTCTCCTGTAGGCTTATGTGCATCTTGTGCGGATTGCCTCAATATTACCTTAAGTCATAAGCTTTATAAGCAAAGATGGATAGTGGCTAGCTGTGGAATCCAGGACGCGCGTTTCGTTCTATTTTGGACCTATTTGCCTCTTAGAATGATAGTCCCAGAGTGCCCTGGTTTGGCCGAGGGTGGAGAGAGCCAGCTCTCACTTTCGAGATGCTCTCATATGGCCACGCATATACAGCCACTACCAGGGAAGTCCTACACACTGCCTTCTCACAGAATTGCTGTTGTTTACGAAATTGAAAGGACGAAAAGTAGATGTTCGGCATTTTAACCAGGTAGGTGGATATATAGGATCCACTCAGAGAAGTTGAAAAACCCTCATTCCAAACCAATGGTGCACATGGGCTGCAGGATTTTGAAGGGACAAATGGCATATGAACCATTTATTGATCAGCGGCTACCATGGGACTGCATCTCCCTACATTAATCCACTGCATTCTGGATCAGACCTTTAGGTCGAATGCTCGGGGTGTGGCCCCCTATGAAAACCACTTGCTTCGATTTCGGTACACGGGCAGTATCATAGCCCACACACAAATCAAGTGACTTGTTTGGCACGTATCTATTCCTTACTTCTTTGTACTAATATTTATGTGTTCAAAAAAATATAATAAATAAATAAATAAATAGAATAATATTACACTTACTATTATTTCCCGTTGCATTTTTAACTGTAAATATGAAGCATATACTTGTTCACAACTTGAGATGGTGGAGAAGATTTGTAGCTCAGGTGGATGATTTTGATGGAGTTTTGTTCTCTGGGTTGGATGGTTCGGTCGTGGAGCTTTCATCGTTTTTCTGAACGACATCATCAGCACAAGCTTCAATCCTACGCAAACCAAAGGATGAAATAATAAAGGAAGACAGATCAAACATCATCTACAAAATAAATTGTGCCAACTGCGAAAAACACTACATCGGACAAAGCGGACGCCCCCTTCATCTTCGCGTACATGAACATCAATTAGCAGTCAAACGCCATGATACCTCCTCACTTATATCGATACACGTGAACAACTGCGGAAACTCATTCGAGACGGTGGAGATTTGTAGCTCAGGTGGATGATTTTGATGGAGTTTTGTTCTCTGAGCTGGATAGTTTTGTCGTGGAGCTTTCATCGTTCTTCTGAACGACATCATCAGAACAAACTTCAGTTAGAAGTGAAGTGTTCGAATTTCTCCATATGTGTTTCACAGCTTGTTCTGTGCACCTCGATAGTGATTGGTTCTTCTTGACCTCAAGTTTGTCATTGTTTACTTCTTTGTTTTGGTTGTGTCTCTGATTGGTTTGATTTTTGTTCCTATATTTGTGCATGATTTTTCTGATTGGTTGGTAAATTGGATTGATTTCAATATGCTTGTTGATTGCTGATTGACCTGAGTGCCAGGCTTGTAAAAATCCTCTGCTGTTTTTGGAATTTCCTCCGTCCAAGATTTCCACATTTTTCCAATCGAATGAGTGTCCGGAGTTGTCCACGTGTATTGATATAAATGAGGAGATATCATGGCGTTTGACTGCTAATTGATGTGAAACACATATGGAGAAATTCGAACACTTCACTTCGAACTGAAGTTTGTTCTGATGATGTCGTTCAGAAGAACGATGAAAGCTCCACGACCAAACCATCCAACTCAGAGAACAAAACTCCATCAAATTGTCCACAACTTATGAAAAAGTATAACAGTTTTATGATCATAATTTACATAATAAATCACATTGTTGACACTTATATGATCTACATTAATAGAAAAAAAGTTATTTAGATATCTATGAAACATAATTTCTTGTTTATTTTTATTTTTCGTTTAAATTGAATTTTTTTAGTGAATTATCTACTATGATAAAACCATTATTTGATCAAATATTAAATGAAGCAAATAGAAATGCAACAGAAAATTATTATTATTCATATCATGATGATACAGATTTATTAAAATCATTAATGAATGAAAAATGTAATGATATAGTGAAAATTTGTTATGATATTATACAATATTCTTAAATATAACAATCAAAGTATACTGTTTTAAATTCCCCACCTTTTTTTTTCTTTATTAT